AATAGTGAAACTTGTCTTGGGAGGTCAGGGCAAGTTCCTAAGTTATAATTTCCTCACTTAGAACGGCTAACAGAATATCCTCATGATAGTGAAACTTGTCTTGGGAGGTCAGGGCAAGTTCCTAAGTTATAGTTTCCTCGCTTAGAACGGCTAACAGAATACCCTCATGATCTCTGGCTAACAGAATATCCTCATGATAGTGAAACTTGTCTTGGGAGGTCAGGGCAAGAGTGAAACTTGTCTTGGAAGGTCAGGGCAAGTTCCTAAGTTATAGTTTCCTCGCTTAGAACGGCTAACAGAATACCCTCATGATCTCTGCAAGAGGCGCTGCCTTGGACCTGCAGGAGGGTAGAGAGGATTTTCCTGTAACAAAAAAAAAATATATATATATATATAAATTTATTTATACACTTTAATAATTAGATTTTTTTTAAAAGTGTAAAAAAAAAAATAGTTTATTTATTTTTATTTATTTGAGATTATCCTCCATATTCTTTTAATTTTGATTTTTGTGCTTCATTCTAGGTACACATTGATGATCTAAATCATCTATCTCATAATATTAACAATTTAGATGAATTATATAAAAAATTAGTATAATCGGATATCACTAAATATATAAATAAATTACATCTTATTATTTAAAATGGACAGTGATTATGAGTTTAAATTTAAATCTTTCATCTTATAAAATAAAAAGTGATTTGTTTATGCATTCATCGATATTCAATGAAGTTAATTTGTTGTACAAACAATTTTTATGTGAGATTTATAAAATGAACGGTTTAGATTATTATTGTGAATCTAAAATGGAGCCCAAAAAATGAAGTATAGAAAAATATAAAAGATAAGAGTATGAAGGGAGTCATACCTCACATTATCTCTTTACTTTTTGCATATATTTTTGTAGTAAGTAAAAAAAATTAATTTTTTTTACACTTCCTAAAACAATCCTTAAAATGCTACACTTGTTCATGATTTTGTATTTTTTTTTACTGTTACCACTGTCAACTTATTCCCCCAAATAATAATGGGAAACAACAACACAGTGGTACCAAAAAAATTATATAATCATAAAAATGCATAATATTTTAATTATTAAAATGTATAAATTTTAACATTGATTTATAATTTTTTTCCCTCTTATCATTGTGATGTTATTTCCCCCAATAATTATTCGGTGTTAATTTCAAAATAGATAGATAAAAAAATCAATATTAAAAGTTTAATAATTTAATTTTTTTATAAATAAATTTATAATTATTTTTAAAAAGTGTCACAAATGTGTAGTTTCTTCTTTTCTTTTTTCCATTGGACCACATATTTTTTTTTTTTTGATAAATTACAAATCAATGTATCAATAGAAAAGTGACTAGGGAATTACACATCAGTAGTCTATTTTCAAAATAATTATAGTTCTACTTGAATTATTAAAATTCATAAACTACACCATTGATACGAAAAAAAAATTGAAATTTTCATTGAAATGTTATTTTTTCAAAATAATTGCACTATAGAAGAAATCTTTTGGTACAATTGTGACAGACAGATCTCATTTGGCTGAGTTATTTTGGCTTAATTAAGCCTATTTTGAGCTTTTAACCCACTTCTCTCTCTCACCCAAAAAAAAGTTAAAAAATAACTTTTAATCATCTTTTCAAAACACTCTGTAATCAGTAAAGACAAAAACAGATTAAAATAATTAATAAAACAAAATATCACATCCAAACTATAATTATTTTATTTTTTCTCTCACAATTATCAAATTAAATAAAAAAAAGTTAAAAATTATCCTAAACATAACCTTTTTTTAGTCAAATTAAAATAGCTAAAAAGTTAAACTTAACTCATCCAAAACGGGAGCTAAAGACTTATACCATCAGCGGCGGAGCCAAAGAGGGTCTAGGGGGGGTCACGTGTCCCCTCTGAGTTTTGAATTTTTATTTTATTTTATACAAATATAAAAAAAATATTTTAAATAAAAAAATTTATAAAAATATTATTTAGAGTGCAATGTCAATGACATTTTTTAAATTATGATAACAATAATGATTGTTTTGATTGAAAATAAGGAGACTACGATAAGTCCTATTATTATTTATGAAAATTTCAATATAATGGAGATATCTATTATTATTGACATGGAAACATAATTAATCTCAATAAAGATATAAAATTTATTAGATCGTTAGTTACATTTTGACATGTGTTGTTCATCCTCCATGTGTTTCTTTACCATTGGTGAGTATATCATATGTCAATGATGACGCAGTATTAATATTATATAAAATTTTTACTCATATTTGGTATAAAAAATTATTTTATCATTATATAATTTATTTTAAAACTTATAGCTATGACTATTTTTATGTTGTCTATGATAAACTAGTTACAAATAACATTGACTTTGCTTGTTTTTGGTTTTCCAAAAAAAACTTTTCAGAAAATTTTATTTTATTATTTTTCGTGTTTTTTTATTTTTACTGATTTTTTTTAATATTTTAAGTAATTTTTTTTTAATTTTTAGACATACTAACATAAATACATATAAAAAGTATAATTTTTGTGATTTTTTTTTTAAAAAATTCACTAAATACCAAAACATATATTAAAATTTTTTTTACGAGAACTCAATATATTTTTTGTATTTATTAATTTTTTAAAATATTTTTTCACAATTTTTTTCATTTTTTAGATATATTTAAGTAAGGTGCATTTAAAAAAAATGCTTAAAATTTTAAAAATATTCACTAAAAACAAAAAATTCACTTTACAAAAAATTTAATCAAAAAAACTCAAACCAAACACATAAAATGTATTTTTTTTTTTATTTTTCTTGAAATCAATCGTAAAAATTTATGTGAAATATTTTTGTAAAAATTTTCAATGTTATAATTAATAAGTGCCTTTGGGATGTCCTAAATAAGTACACTTTTTGACTTTTTATAAAATATAGGTTGGATTTGAAGTGATGTGATAGATAGGTGATGTGACTTAAATAAGATGATGTGACTTAAATAAGATAATAATTTTTTAACCTTTTGACTTTTTTTTTTGAAGATGCCAAACCAAGCCTTAGGCCTCGTTTGGCAAGAGGCTATTTTAGTCAATTAGCCAAAAAGTTACTAAATTAGCCAAAAAGTCAGCAACTCATACCAAAAAGTCAAAGATTCTCTTTTCTCTCTACTTTTTGCACATCTTTTCGTAATTAGCCAAAAAGTCATCCCAAACATACAAGTTTTTTTTACCTATTTTTTTAGCCAAATAGTCAAAAAGTTACTAAATTAGCCTGTTCCCAAACGAGGCCTTAATTTCCTAACTTCACCACTATATACCATACATATGAAAGGCTTGCATCACTATGAAATTGTAAATAGATTTGGTTTCTTTCTAGTTGGTCACTTGAGAGAGTATTTGGACTTTATAGGCCCATTTTGAGACTGATTTCAGTGATCCAAACTATTCATTTTTTACGATTCGTTGAGTAAAATATTCATACAAAAAAATAAAGTAATATATTTGAATCACAATTATATTAAAAAATGAATTACTATTTTTAAAATTATATTTGTTGTCTATTTTTTAAAAACAAATATGACTGAAATATATAACTATCAATATTTAATTATCTTAATTTTTTTCTTGATAAATATTATACTCAACTAGTCTTAACAAATAAATAATCCATGAAATCGATTCCAAAATAAGTATCATGCTGAAATGCTCGTTCAAATTGACATAACGGATTGTTTTAAAAAATTAGTTAAAAACTGATTTTTAAATTTTTTATAAAAATATGTAAAAAATAAAAAAATAATATAATTCAAAATAGGGTGAATAACGTTAGCGGAGCCTATAGTTTGGCGCTTGTGTTATTTTGATTATTGACTTTTCAATTGTGACATATTTAATCATGAATTTTGAATCTTGTTCCAAATAAGGACAATTGAAGATATCATTTGATTTTTCAAGGGCAAAACTGTCAATTTGATAAAATATAACTAATTTGACAAAAATAAATGTCAAAAAAATATTTTGGAATTTTTAAAAATTATTTTTACCCACTAAAGATAAAATTATGTAAAATTGATAAATCTTTTACACATAAATTTATTTATTTTACCAAATTAATTTTTATTATGTGTGCTGGATGATAATCATGTAATGAGTGGTTATTTTTGTTTTCATTAAATTAGTTTTTATTTTTTCAAAAGTCAAATATGGCGACAACTTTGATATCATTATTAAACAAATCCATTAAATTAAAAAAATCCAAAACTAAAAATATTTCATATATTAAGGTGTTTGGTATTTTTAATAAAAATAAAAAAGTCACTATCCTATTTAAGTCACATCACCTTATTTAAGTCACATCACTTATTTATCACATCACTTCAAACCCAATTCATATTTCATAAAAAGTCAAAGAGTGTACTTATTTAGAACATCTCAAACAACTCCTAAATGTATCAATTACACATTAAAAGTTTAACAACTACTCATTACAAAATCATTATCTAAACATATAATAAAAATTAATTTGGTAAAATAAAAAAATAAATAAATGTCTAAAAGATTTATTAAATTTTATATAATTTTATTGTAGAAATAATTTTAAAAATTTTAAAAATATTTTTTTGACATTTATTTTTGTTAAATTAGTTTATATTTTATCAAATTAACGATTTTACCCTTGAAATTAAGCAATGATATTTTCAATTATCTTTATTTGGAATAAGATTCAAAATTCAGAATCAAATGTGTTATAATTAAAAAATTAAGAACTAAAGTGACACGAAACTCAAATTATAGAGGCTATTAATGTAATTTGTCCTTTAAAATAAGTCAAAAATTAAAAATTAATTTTTAACTGTGCTCCCAGATTGGGCCCAACAACTTGAAAAAGAGCCTCCTCAATGTGAATATTATTCCACTTGCTATTTCTCTGTTTTTTTCCCCAATTAATACCTTTTTCTCAAGATCATCTCTTTCCGCATTCCACTTTCTTATCATCAAATAATTTTCTTCCTCAAAAAGTAAGAAACTCCACGAGGTATCTCTCACTCCTTTTCCCTCACCAGGGGAAGGTCGCTTCTCTCTCGTACCTCTCTCTGTACCCATAGCCATCTCTATATAATCATCACCTGCAACATTTTCAAGTATTCATTGATTCCTATTGGTCACAGATTCATATTTGTGATTTGGGTTGGTAGAAAGTACAGTCATGGACTTGGGATGGCTGGTGAATTTCTTGAAGGGTATGGTGAAGCCAGTTTTGGCCTTGGCGGTGGTGCTCATGGCGGTCATCTTATCTTACTGGCAAAAACTGGATTTGGGGTGGGAAATGGTGTACTCGATTTTCAGGGCTTTTGTTCAGCTCTCTGTCATTGGGTTTGTTCTTCAATTCATCTTCACTCAGAAAAATGTCAGCTGGATTATCCTTGCTTATCTTTTCATGGTACTCTTTCTCTTCTCTTGTGTTTGGTTGATCAGAAAACTGAAAAAGGAAAATAGAAAAAATATAACGCATCTCATGTTTTGTGCTTTCTTGGTTTGATGGGAAATTTTCAATGGCACCACCACAATTAAGCCAGTTATTGATGGATTATGCTAATAATAATGTGTTTGGATCGTGAATTATAAGAGAGAAGTGTTGGATTGAGATTTTTTGTTCCCAAATCTCTCTCTTTTTATCAGTAGTGATAGAATTTTTCTTTCTAATTTTTAGTTTATGGTTTTGTACTATCAATATTGCAGGAAATCAAGGTTCTATAACTTATTTGATGGACTTTTGCTTGATTAGATCATGGATAGGGTTCTTAAAATGAGGTTTCCATGTTGGTGAATAACAGGATAAAAGAAAAGAAAAAAATTGTTGTTAATAGACTTCAATTTTGAATTTTCTGCATGTTTTCTTGTGTTTTTTGTTTGACTGAGAAAGAATTTCAACCGGCCTACCATGTCATCCAGCTGATATGTGAACTAGACTTAGTAGTTGATTGGAACTTTTTGTTCCCAAATCTTAATTTATTGCTTTTTATATGCAGTGGTGATGGGACATTTTTGTCTTCTGAATATAATACTCTGGGTTGTTGTTTTAAAGATTCATTTATAGATAGGAAAGGAAGGTTTATCACTTTTTTATGATTCACCTTTGTTATTAGACTGTTTCAAGTATAGAATGCTCAGAATGAGAAATTTGTTGGTGGTAACAAACAAGAAAGGACAAGGAAACTTGCTTGGTACTCAAATTAAGTTTTGACATTAGTTGCATGTGTTAGTCTAATTTAATATTTCATCCCCTTTCTAATATGAAATAATGAAGTTTTGACCTACTCTGGGTTGTTGTTTTAAAGATTCATTTAATACTATTTTCTTGTTAATATGAAAATAGTATTATCACACTAGTTTGTTGATATGTGTATTGTATCTTACCCAACGTTTTAATGGGGAATTACAAATCAGTGAAATAAATGAAAATGAAAATAATTACAAAAATATGGAAGTTCAAGTAGAGTTTGTGCGCTGGTGCAAGTAAGATCATAGTTTTCACTTGCACTAGGGCAAAAGACCACTTGCATCTTCATGTTTTTTCAAATTATTTTCACTTCTTCACACTAATTTGCATTTTCCCCATGTTTTAATTTGATAATGAGTGATGAAATTCTTTCTTACATTTGTGTGTGTGTGTGTGTGTGTGACTATTAAGGATTTGCTGGGAATGCATAGTTCAAGGCTTAGTTTGTATAGTTTGAATAGTTGATACCAAAAATAAATCCAATAACCTTATTTGAGCCAAAAGTATGCTTTTGGCACCTTATATCATTGGAGTTTGGATTGAGAGCTGCACCTTCTATCTTGGAGCAGTGATAAATTGCTTATACTTATTCCTAGGTTTTGATTTCAATTGGCCTTATTTCCTTTTGCTGGCTCCTGCAGGTTGCCGTTGCTGGTTATACAGCAGGTCAACGTGCCAAACACGTTCCTAAGGGGAAGTATGTTGCAGGAGTCTCCATTCTCGCTGGAACTGCGGTGACCATGTTGCTGCTAGTTGTGCTGAACGTTTTCCCTTTCACTCCAAGGTACATCATCCCAGTTGCAGGGATGATGGTTGGCAATTCAATGACAGTCACTGGGGTTACCATGAAAAGACTCCGGGATGATATTAAGGTCCAAATGAACTTGGTAGGTCCCTATTGAAATAACACCTTTTTTTAAAGTAAAACAATTCATTTCCTCAGTAGTTTTCTATGAATCCTAGACCATCGAACACACAAGAATTGGCAAGTGAGGGGTTATTATCAGCTTAAGACTTTCCCTAGAGGTTTCGAAGGTTGTCTAGGCCTCTATAGTTATCATCCACCTAGTCGGCAGACAACTTGGCACAATTTTTACCCTCCTTGTGCAGGGAAAGAAAAAGAAAGGAAAATGAGAAACAAAAGAAGCTTATAGTTCATTTATCTTTTCCCTTTTTTTTTTTACGCAAATCTGTCCATTCAAACACAACTTGAATGTCCACTTATTGTGACAGTTTTCTGGCTTGGATTCTTGTGAATAGCTGTTTGTTAACTAACCTTATATTATTGTATCATAGTAGCATGCTCAAATCCTATGGACATGTTATGCGGGTTGTATATATAAATCCTTAAAAACAATTCACCGTCCTTTCCTTCTCCCATGATGTCCAATTCATGACATGGTTCTGATTTATGGATTTTAAAGCCATTTCAAATAATTAATAGTTTTGAGATATCTTTTGAGTTTTAAAGTCTGGCATCATCGTTAAAGAGTTCATATGAATTTCACTTTCAGGTGGAGACAGCATTAGCTCTTGGGGCTACTCCTCGTCAAGCAACAATTCAACAAGTGAAAAGAGCTCTAGTTATTGCCCTCTCTCCGGTCTTGGACAATGCCAAAACCGTGGGCCTTATAGCGCTTCCCGGAGCAATGACTGGCCTTATAATGGGAGGAGCGTCTCCTCTAGAAGCCATTCAACTACAGATTGTCGTGATGAACATGCTTGTTGGGGCATCAACTGTTTGCAGCATCATGTCAACATACCTCTGTTGGCCAGCCTTCTTCACTAAGGCCTACCAGTTAGAAACCAAGGTCTTTGCTGCCGAATGAGGTTGGTTTTAGTTTTGTTTTATTTTATTGTCATCCCTGCCAATTGTGATAAAATTCATGAATGAACAAACCAATCTTCTCCCTGAAATGTTCTAGCATCTTTCTGGGATGGTTTCTGCTAATACTGCTCTACTTCAAAATCCATTTATTATTCAATCTCCAAGAAAAATATGAAGTTGGTGTGAGAAATTGATCGTCTTGTCGTGCTTGACATTTATGCGAAGTAAATCCATTCAATGATTGAGAATTTGGGTGTTTGATTCTAAGAATGTGTACGCTCAGATTCAATTATTGTTTGATGAGATTATAACAACGTGGATTTCTCTGGCTCTAAGAGTTTATTATTGTAGAATCTGATAATGACTTATCATGAAAGGCACATAGACTTATCGTAAGAAAAGGTCTTGTTGTTATGCGGTCTTCACTAACAAAGATATTGTTGTTAAGGTCACAATTATTAGTGCCAAAACAAATGAACCTTTGTTAATGTGAGATTGGTTTAAAATATACAGTGACAAAATTAGGTATTGCCACTCAGGGCATGTGTTTGTTTAATGTTTGCAAAAAGAAAAATGGACAAAGCATGCAGTTTCCAGAGCCATCTCCAACCGAAAGACAAAAGGGCAAGTGTTGTTTATTCCACACTCACAAAGCATTTGGGGATTTGAATATGGTGGATTGGTTTATTCTGATAAATTAATGCCAGTGGCACATGATTCATTTTGGATTTGGTTCCTCCCTTCGGGAATCCTAGCCCCAGAAGACTCATTCATGCACTAATCTTTTTAGTGAACTGAACTATCATTCCCTTCTAAGATTTTATTTATTTATTTATTTTTGGCAGAGGGAAAAGTTAACGCTATGTTTGGATTGAATAATTTAGAGAGAAAAGAAAAGAAATTGAGTGATATGTATTTCTCTTATTTGTTTTGATAACTAAGTAGAGAGAAATGGGAAGAAATGGAGAGAAACTCATTTATCTTATAAGTCTCATTTTCAATCTTCCCAAAAGTGGTGAGATTGGGAGAGAAAAGAAACCACTATTTTCATAATATCAATTTTGTCCCTATAAAAATAAAAGAAATAAAATGATTGAAAATATAAAAATGTTATTTTGGTAATATAACATAAAATAATTTATTTTCTCCTCTTAATGAAATCTAACCAAACAAAAATGTGAGAAATCACAATCATTTCTTTTCTTTTATTTAGCCCTGTTTGGTATAGTTTTTTTTCAACTTATTTCAGCTTTTAGCTTAATTTAAGCTATTTTGATGTGTTTGGTTTTGCTTAAGCTTATAGCTTATAGCTTATAGCTTTTTGTAAGTCAGAAATCAGCTTATTCTTTGAGTGGGGCAGGAGAAGCTTAATTTATAAGTCAGAAATCAGCTTATGTTCGTAGTTATAAGCTGTTAAGGTATAAGTTAGAAGCACTTTCTCACAGTTCTACCAAACAGGGCCTTTCTTCCTTATCCAAACAAAAAGAGGAGAAATTACAATCATTTCATTTCATTTCTCTTATTACTTAAGTAATTCTTTCTTTTCTTTTCTCTCCTAAGTTTCCAAACATAATGTAAGGGAAGGTACCTATCTCCTGGAATATGAAAAGTTTAGAGTTTTTGTAAGGTTAGTTATAAATTATTGTAGTTATATTACCAAGGGCACAAAAAAAGAAAAAGAAAAAAAAAGTCTTGATTCTGAACTACTGTGGTTATGTTGTGAACAATAAAAATTTTCTCATCATTATACTAAGAAATGTTATGAATCAATGTAAGAGTAGGAATTTTGACATACGCAGTCTAATGAAATCATGTTTTAAAATGTGAGAAATGAGAAATTTTATAAGCAATATAATAAATTTGTGAAAAAAATGAAAATAAGCAAATTTTGAAGTTTGACTTCAGACCTGATTATGAAATTAGCAAGCAAAATAATACAATCAAAACAAAGAGAGAAAGGATGAAGATGAGTCGTGAGAGGGTAATTTTTGGAGAAAATTGGGCCGAGCTGCGAGATGGATTTTGTGGCCCAAAGTATGAGGGACTCAGTAAAAGGCCGTAATGTTACTCCGGCCCAAGAAAGGATAAAGTTAATTCGGCCCAAAATGATGTAAAGTTGCTCCGGTCCGGGGTAGCTCTGAGTAGGTCCGGTCACAGATTTAGTCCAGTCATGATGTCTCCTGAATAGGTCGGCCTGACAGTGCCTTTGAGTTAGACCGACCTAGGAGTTATACCGGTCGCAATTATTTAAAGTTTATTCCAACCGTGCCATGGGTTGAACAAGAGAGAACCGAGATAAGGAGGGGTAAAAGCAAAACCGAACTAAGGGAGTTCGGCCTACTCAGTGGCTCTATATAGTCAGTTTATTTCGGTCGTATTGTAATTCGGCCATGGTACAAACCATCTCACTTGGTTTAAGCAGTGAGGGGGGTGTGGAAGGATAAGCATTATCTTTCAGGAGTATGAATCCTAGGAGTACTCTGCATGGAGGAGTACAAGTCCTACTAGGATTATGCCACTCGAAACCTATAAAAGCTCACAAACATTACCTTGGAGGAGGTAACAGAACACAACATAATTTTGCTTTCTGAGAACATTGAGCTTTGTCTATTTGTCAAGTTTTCTGACTTAGGCATCGGAGAGATTTCCGGTACACACCCGCCGGCTAGCTCACGTTTGTGTTTTCAGGTGATAAAGCGACGTCGTACGGAGGAGCGTGGACTTGGTCAACAGGATTATACGAGAAGGAGTATTTCTTTCCCGTACAATTGGCGCCGTCTGTGGGAAGAACAGACAAGAACAAAAACCTCTTGACTAAGCTTCTCCTTTTCTCAATCAATGGCACACATTGAAGAGTTGTCGCAGTCCGCCGTCGACGGGCTAACTCCGGATGGGGGCGCAAGACGTGAAGGATTACCCTCTGTCCCTCCCATGGCGGACCTGGAACCCCAACGACATAGCTCCAGGAGGGATGGAAGGGGAAGACGAACTAACAGCCCCCGCCACTCTCGTTCACAAAGTCCTGACAGACAAAGGAGGAGGATTGATCCTCAAGCTCTAGAAGACCGCGTGAAGGAGAAAGATGAACTAATACGGAAGATGGCAGCGGACATGGAGGCTTTGAAACGCCAGATGAAGAAAAAAGAAGTGGCGACAGGAAAGGGACGCAAACACAAGACGTCCCCTCGCCACTCAGAAAATCGTAGTAGGAATACTACACCCTCCCAAGGAGAGAGCAGAAGCCTCAGGACAGGCGACACTCATTCCTTATCACTCAATACTGGTCTTCCAGAACTCGTCACTCCAGGTCTGAGAGGACAAGGTTTGAAAGATCATACACTGAAGGAAGCACATACTGGCCCTTTCATTCGCATCAAACTAGATCTAGACAGACGGAATTACCCAGATCATCCGACTTACGAACCGTGCTCGAAGAGAAAGCACGATGCAAGGAGGATGCCAGGGCGCGGGATTCGCACAGAGTTTCTGCCTTACAGCGGTTGGCTCCTCGGACGCATGGAAGCGTCGAGGTTGGAATGCCAATACCGCGCTCTGCCTACGAACCAACGGACAAAGCCTTAGTAAGACTACAGACTTCGCTGTTTGTTCCAGCAATCGAGAACGCTCCCCTACCATCAGGCTTCCTTCAGCCGAAATTCACTACATATGAAGGGAAGACGGACCCGTATTCACACTTGAGCCACTTTCGCCAAGTCATGGCCGTATACAGGCGAAACGAGGCCTTAATGTGCATACTCTTCCCATCAAGCCTTGGCGACCTAGGCTTGACTTGGTTCGAAAAACTTCCAGAAGGCAGCATAGCCTCCTGGGCTCAATTGGCAGAAGCGTTCGTAACAAGGTTCCGAACAAACACAAAAACACCGGTGGAGATCGACCAGTTACTCTCCATCGACATGGGGGATAAAGAGACCCTTAGATCCTACAACAGTCGCTACTGGGAAACATTCAATCAGATTGGGGACTGCCCCACCAATCTTGCCATTGCCCAGTACAAAAGAGGCCTTCCAGTCGGGAACAGACTAAGGGACTCAATCACCATGACGCCACCCCTTACCATGGAAGCCCTGATGGAGAGAGTGCATCAGCACATCAGGGTAGAAGAGGATGGTGCACGTGCTAAAACAAAATCTAGTGCGACCGCAGTATCAGAAAAGAAAACCTCAGCAAAGGTCAATACGGTGGATCGTTAGAATAGAAACGGGCGTGGCAAACGAGATAACAGAGAAGACCCAGACAAAAGATGGTTGAGAATCCGTACTGCCATAACAACGGTGTTCAAAAAACCAATATATCGGATTCTGAGCGAAATAAGAGATGAGCCTTTTGTTAAGTGGCCAGCCAAGATGGGAGAAGCTTAGAAAGACTACGATGATAGATCACGGTGCACCTTCCACAAAGAAAAAGGGCACCGAACTGAGAATTGCACGCCACTTAGACAGCACTTGGAAGAACTAGTGGCAGCAGGCCACTTGGACAAATACATTGAAGGAGGGACACAGCCAGCCCCCCAGGATCATAATAACCCCAATGGAATGTCAATCGACGCCCCACCACAAGGTATCATCAATGTAATACATGGAGTCTTTGAACCTGAGCGTGTATGCGAGCTCAAGGGATCAATCAAAAAGGCTGAGCACTTTAGAGAAGTACAAAGTGCCCAACCTGCCACAAAGAAGGGGAAAACAGAGGCAACAAACGTCATGTCCTTTTCAGACAAAGACTTAGATTGAATATACTGCCCCCACAATGATGCCTTGGTCGTCACTCTCTGAGTCAAGGATTTTGACGTCAAGCGGATTCTGATTGACCAGGGTAGTTCATGTGAGATCATGTACTACGAAACATTCAAACAGTTGAAACTGCAAGACAAAGACTTGGCGCCTGCTGTATCTCCCCTGATTGGATTCAACTCCATGCCAGAATGGCCCGTCGGCAAGATAATTCTTCCAGTCAGAGCAGGAAGCGTGACAAAACAAGTGGAGTTCTGGGTGTTGAAAGTCCCCTCCACTTACAACATCATCCTGGGCAGAACATGGCTGCATGCCATGCGATCGGTGGCGTCATCTTACCACAAAGTAATGAGGTTCCCCAACGACATTGGTATAATTGAAGAAGTCTATGGGGATCAGATCATGTCAAAACAATGCTTCGCTACGGTGAATGGCAGCC